CTTATTTTCATCAATGAATATGATCCATGTTCAAGTAGTTCATTCATTGAAGCAGCAGCACCACGTTCCTCCTTCGCCACTTATCCCCAGGGTCTGCGAAGACAGTAGCACATGGGAGGCAGTTGATGAATATCTCCCAAATGAATGAATGAATGATAGAGGAACAGAGCTGAAAGTCTCACACAGGACTATCTGACTCCAAAATCCATGCTTTTCTCACAATACCCATGGCAGCCCTGGTCTAGTTTTGCTTTAGCTGCCGGAAACAGAATGTAGTTCTTGTCTTGAAGCAAGCTGTGTATTTAGTACTGAGTTTATCATAGTAGACTGTTCATGTTAGTTACTAGTTATGAGGTCTTATGTGGCTCGCTCAACAACTCTGAATCTTATTTCCATTTGTAAAGTAAGCCCGTTCTTGCCTATCTTCCACATCTGTTTAGAAGGATAAATGAAAACTTATAGGACAGCATTATAATTTGCAGCATCAAATAAAGTTATTATCATTACAATATGGAGAAGAAATAAGAGAGGAAGGAAACAGAGTAGGCAAAGAAAGGAGAAGTAGAGGAAAAAGATGATGGTGTTGGGCAGCATGGCTTAGAAGTAACTTTCCAGTCCAAAACTTTGTGATTTAATAGAAAAATAGAAAACAAAAAAAAAATTATCAAAATTTTGTACATCAAATGTTGTACATCAAAATTGCCCACTTGTCCAAGAACAGGATTCAGAATCATTTGTGTCTACTAAATAAAGGATACAATTCTATTATTTTTATTTTAAAATACAATTTGCTACATTGAAATCTCTTTTAAGAGCCTCTACTCCTTTCAGTCTTTTAAAAACACATAACAGTAACTTTGTTACAGCATCATTTAAATCATGGTCACAATTTTCTTTTTCTCTATCCTTGTTTCAAATCCTGTTCAAAAGCCCCAAGAAGTCACATAGCTTTGGCCTTAGGTTGGCCACCTCTATGCTGACTGTGGGAAGCAAAGCAAAGGGTCATCACAACCAGCTCGTACCACACAGTAGCAAGCATGCTATGCACAATTGGGTCCTTAAAGGACCATCAGTCCAGCCAATGCCCATAACTTCAAAACGAAGCCACGAGAATCTTCAGGGGAGCAACTCTATCTTAGATCCATTTCCATAGATGGAAATCTGACCCACTGCAGATCCTCAATAAAGGCTGAATGAAGTATATAAACAAATGGTCTCTGGTCTCCTTTCTAAATACAGTATTTGTGATATTATGAGCTACATATATAAAATATATACCTATACATATATGTGTGTATATAAATATATAATTTACACATGTGTGTATACATATGTGTTGGGTGTGTGTGTGTATTGGACATAGAGTATACACACATACCCACATACATACTCCAGTACTGTACATCCAATACACACACACACACACACATATAGGTTTCTATCCACTGTTCCTGGCTCATAACTTTCACAGCCCTTGTTACAGTCTTTCGTATGTTGGTGCATTTTAGGCCTCAGGAGTTGAGCCAAGAATTGTAAGACCTTCATCCCAGGGAGGGTCCTGTCCCATACCCTGGAAGAAGGAATGCTGCATGGAGAGGCCTGAAGAATCTGGACAGGCCTTCCTGGCTTTCCCCAATCAGTCTATTAATATGAGCTCAGACCCTTTCTGTCCAGTCACATTTCAACACTGTTGTCCATGCTTCAGTCATGCCTAGCCAATGAAGTTTCCATAAAAGGCCCAAGAGGACGGGGTTCAGAGAGTTTCTGGATAGCTGAACTCAAAGAGATTCCTGGAGAGTGACGCATCCAAGGAGGGCATGGAAGTTCCAAGACCCTTCCCCCATACCTCATCTTATGCATCTGTATCCTTTGTAATATCCTTTATAATAAACCAGTAAACACAAGCAAGTGTTTCCCTGAGTTCTGTCAGCCTCTCTAGTAAATTAATTGAATCCAAGGAGAGGGCCATGAGATCCCCTATTTATAGCCAGTTGGTCAGAAGCACAGGTAAAACAACCTGGGGCTTTCAACTAGCATTGCAAGTGGCAGGGAAGAGGGGGTTAATCTTGTGGGACTGGGACCTCAACCTATGGGATCTGACACTATTTCCAGGTAGGTAGTGTCAACACTGAACAGGAGGACACCTAGGTGATGTCCACTGCACAACTGACTGCTTACTTGGTGTTTGGGGAGAAATCCTCAGACATTTGGTCACAGGAGTCTTCCGTGCTACTGTGTTGTCGGTGATGTTGAGATAATGAAAAAAACACAGTTTGAGTTTTATTCTCCAACACAATACTGTACCTCCAATAATGAGGACTCACCCTCCTAAAATGGTCCAACCCACATGCGGGAAGCTTTATTAGAAAAAGAGCATGTGTGGCTTGGGCAAAGAGTAGGGGCTTCATGGGCAGATGGACTTGGATCTAAATCCCAGTTTCATTCACCACTTCTTAGCCATGTGCCTTGCATATGTCACTGACTTTCCCTAGACCTCAACTGCCTTGTCTTTATACAGGGAAGATGGCACAGTGGTCTGGGCTGGCTAGAGGAGAAGATGCCAGGTCTATGGACAAGTAATGGAAGAGAATGATGGAAATGTGAGTTGAAACCAAATTAGTTCAGTGTACCCACCAGGCAGCATTTGCCTTCTGTTTGGAGAGGCAATGTAGGAGCATGTTGAAGGCACAGAACTGGAGGCAGACAGCTGGGCTTGGATCCTAGCTGGAATCTTGAGCAACCAACTTAACCTTTCTATGCAATCATTTACATATAGGTTAAAAGGTGATCATCATAGCACTTTATCATAGAGTTGATGCAAGTATTGAGTAAATCAATACTTCCAAAACACTTAGCACCTGAATTATAAGAAATCACGCAATAAATGTTAGCTATTACAGTGATGATTATTACTATTTCTGCAATCAATAGGCCACTGAAAAGGTAGTGATAAGATCACTGCTTCTCAGATGTTTGATTGCACTGTAAGGTGTAGGATAGACAAGAGCAGAGAGATGGTAGGCCAAGAAACTAGTTAAGAGGTCACTGCAATTCTAAGTGAGGGGTGCTGAGTACCCAAAGTTGCAAAGATAAAGAAAAGAAAATGGGAGGAAATAAGTCAGATGCTAGATATGTCTGAGCAGTTGAATCAACAAAACTTGGCCAAAGTCTTGATGTGGCTGGTAAGAAAAATGGAATAGCAGAGAAGATAAAAGAATTTTGTCTGACTGGGTGTGGTGACTCATCCCTGTAATCCTACCACTTTGGGAGGCTGAGGGCTAAGGCAGGAGGATTGCTTGAGCCCAGAAGTTCAAGACCAACCTGAGCAACATAGCAAGGCCTCATCTCTAAAACATAAAAAATAAAAGAAAGACTTTGTCTGAAAATGTATCAATTTTCAAACTAAGGTGCCTTTTAAAGTTATCCTAAGAAACTAATTCTGTCTTTTCTAGATTGTGAGCTCTTGATCATCTTGTTATACCCAATGGTCCTTGTACACAGCAAGTATTCAGAGTTTCTTGAGTGAGTAATCCATCAAGATACAACATCTGTATACAGAAAAAAAGTAAATACGGCGCTTATCCACTTGTAGTATCTGCTGTGTTCTGGATTATGAAAAGGCCAGCCGTACTAATTTGTAAGTATTCAAAGTAGCATGTTTTATAGTCCCACTAACTGGAGAGGGACGGACTGCCTCCAAAGGAAATATGTATGTATTTAGACAAGAAAATTCTTCATAATACCTATATTCTCCATTTATTTAGAGTAGGATTTCTCAACCTTGGCAATATTACAATTTGGGACTGGATAATTCTTCCCTGGGAGAGGTAGGGGGTCACTATCCTGTGCATTGTAGAGTTATCTACAGCTATCAAATTTTCACACATATCTGACAGATTGGATTTGAACCCCCTAACAACCCTGCAATGAGGCAAGCAAGGTTTTCATTCCTGTTTAACAGGTGAGCAACTTCTAAATATTGCAAACGTTTGTTTTCTGTTTTAAAAGATAAAAATACTATATTTGATGTAAACAAAAATGCAATTGCCTAAAAAGGCAACCACATGTTTGACATTCACAAGATCGTGAACCCTCCAATCCCACCTCTGGTATTCACTTATCTGGGCCCTTTCAGGAGTAACTTCACCCTCGAGGCCTGTTGCTTTCACCTGTGAAACTTGGTGTTTAACCAGGTGAGCATGAGGTATCCTCCTAACTCTAACACTATAATACCCTGATCCTGTATTAAGAAACTTCAATTTCACCCACATTGCCTGCAGGCGACTTTTAACCTACTTGCCATGCTGCGACTCTTACACAAAGCAACTGATGACAAGCCTTGGATGACAGGCCTCACGGGCAATGCCTTCCACCTGGATGGCTACCTGGTTGCAAAGATTTTAACAACCAATCCCATTTCTCCTACATCTTTACTCCTTCTGCCTGAAGCTTCGGACTCAACTTACCAAGTGCAACTAGGAAGGAAGGGGCAACAACCAAAAGAAACCAGTCACTAAAATAGCAGGGCCCTTCTCGGCAACCCCCGACACTCACCACCCTGCACATCCAGTCCTTTTAAAGTTCTGTCTCTTTTCCTCCTATATCCAAGCCCCAAGATACCGTCCCTCCACCACTCCCAGACCCCCATATGCCACGCATTGGAGTGTGAGGATCAACGTCCCTTGCAGACTTGTGCACGGGCCTAGGAACCAGCTTACCCACGTTTCAACTGTCATTAACTTCTAACTAACTACATGCCCCACGGGGCCTGACCTGAGGCTGAACTCCTATGACTTTCCAACTCCCCTGGATCTGCACGCAGTCACTTGGAGGCACCGCCCCTGCGCTAGCTCCAGGGCTTGAGACAGGGGCGGAGCTCCTCCCTGAGCCGGAGAAGACCCGCCCCTGTCCCTTCCGCGACTGCCGCCCCGCGCTCCCTGCGGGGAGGTCGACCCCGGCGCATTCTAGGCCCCGCGGTGCTCCAGCGGGTTGGCCGCTACCTGGTCCAGCAGCCGGTAGATGCTGATGCCCGAGGTCTCCACTAGAAGCTGCCAGTCGGCCCCGGCCAGAGCGGGCTGCTGGAGCTCGGCGCAGGCCTCCCGGAACTGCTCCCCCGAGAAGCTGCCCGCGGCCAGCTCCATCCTTCCGCAGTCCGGGCTCCTCCGCCTGGAGGACAGGCCGCGGACACCCTTGTTGTGGGCCTCGGGGCGGGGCGACCGAGCGGCCCCAGCGTCATTGACAGGAAACTGAGGAGGAGGCGGGGCCTAGACTGGAGGAGCGGCCTGAGGGTGGGGCCCTGGAGGGGCGGGCCTAGAAAAGTGGGCGGGACTGAGCAAGGAGTGAGGAGGATAGACAAGAAGTAAAAGGAGAAAAATTGGACTTGATGTGGGGAAGGAAGGAAGAGCTAGAGATGTGAGGAAGCTTTCAGAGGGAAGGGAAAAGGAAGAGGAAGGGAGACAGTGATGTCACCTCCAAAACACCTCCTCAGTAGCCCATCTCATACTCCCTGTTACCCCCATAATCTACAGAGCTGTTTGAGTGTCTCTCATTTACCTTTCTGAATAAAGTAAAGAAAGCCTATTTGGTAGACGTGAGAGGAGAGGTGGGCAGAGTAGAAATGCTGGAAAAATCCGAAGGGGTCAAATGCCAGAACTGTATTTCAATATAATTTCTCTTCTTTCTGCTATACATTTTAAAACATTATTCTGAGACAAGGTCCATTGGATTCACTAGAAGACTCAAGGGGTTCATGACACCAAAACAGTTTAGAAACCTAATCCATAATGGATCTACCAGGTTGTTGCCACCCTAGAGGGTAGAAACTGATCAGAAATGTGTCATACTAGGTGTCATACACCTATGATTTCTGCAACTTGCATAATTTAGCTCACTGTGCAACTCAAACATCTTCTTGTTTCTTTGAAGTCCCTTGGGTAATACTGTATTTCCCATCAGCAGACTGTACTACCTGACTTTGAATAAAGTAGGTCGTTTAAACATCAAAACTATGTAACAGCCACATGAGTGCCAATAAACTCTGAAAACTCATGTTTCCTAATCTGTAAAATGGGTCAAGAATTGTGCTACCAGTTACAGCTGAGGAGGTGGTTGGACAAGGAATAATTTTGCACAGTGCCTGTCCAAGTAAATGTTCAATAAAAATTTCCACTTGTTTTGCATTACTGTATTGAAATGTTTTTCTTTCCTTACTTGAAAGAAAGTTGATGGCAAACTCTTCATTTATGCGAATTTCCAGTCAGGCAAATGATCACATTTGGCAGCTTCCTTAGTTAGACACAGCAGAGATAAATAATTGCTTTTCTCAAGTCAGTCCTGGTTCTGTTTTGTTTTATAGGTGTGGAAAGAGACATGTGAAATTTTCCTAGACTAAATGCACAAAAGTTTAGACTTGACATACTTTCCAACTGTTTTATAATGCCTTGTAAATTTTCTATGTTTTGTAAATCTATATTTTATTTAAATAGAAATTCATTGCTTGAAAAAGCAATTGTGTAAAAAAACCTATTGGCTATGAAGTATTTTCAAGTATCTTCAAGGAATACATTGTAAAGGTTTGATTTGATAAAGCTGTATTACTGTATAGCAATAGACTAATGGAGATAAGTATAACAGCACAAACGACATCATGCAAGATATAAGGCATACAATTCAAATTGTATTTATTATATGTGTTTAAAAGTGTGTTGCCTGTTAAACTCAGGAGAAAAATAAATATACCCTTGAATATGCTGAGATTTACACTCAATTATTTTATTACAGTTAATGAAAGAATAATGTTAGGAAATATTTTATGGTATCTCTAAAGTCTAAACACAGCTTGGAAAGGGATCCAAGAAGGCCTGTTCTTGAGCAATTGCCTTAATAGCCTGTTTCCTTTGTGAAAAAAAAAAACTCTGAAAGAACTTCTGGCAAAATGGCAGCTGATGCTCCTGGCTTCAAACATGGAAATGTTGGTGAAAACGTGTTGAAAATAGTTGTAAATACATAACTTAGCTGAAAAGTGAAAAAGGGTACTTCCAGGTTTCAGCAAGGGAAGAGAGAATGAAAGTCAGCGACACCAGCTCCTGGATATTCTTAGAATGGATGACTGGTCCTCACCCCACCTCCCCATGCAATGTTTCCCCGTGGAAGAACTTCCATTAGGGAAATATGTTTGGCCTTACTCATCTGCTCAACTCCTACTCTGGAGAAGATGAGTGATTTAAATGCAGTCATGCATTGCTTAACAACAGGGATATATTCTGAGAAATGTGTCATCAGGCAATTGCATCCTAAAGCATACATCATAGAGTGCACTTACACAAACCCAGATGGTGGAGCCTACTACATATGTAGGCTATATGGTACAGCCTCTTGTTCCTGGGCTACAAACCTGTACAGCAGGTTACTGTATTGAATACTGAAGGCAATTGTAACACAATGGTATTTGTGTATCTAAACCTAATTAACATAGAAAAGTAAAATAAAAATATGGTGCTATAATTGTAAGGGACCATAACCATCTATGCAATCCAACATCGACCAAAATGTTATTATGGTATGCATGACTATAGTTGATGAGTTTGGGAGAAGGAACTACTGGTCATATCTAGATCAACCCTTCTGGCTCTTCCTTTTTGGCAACTGTCTACTTGTAGAAAATATGCATTCTCATCTGCCCTAGGTTATATAGTAGACTCAAGAGGACAGGCTCTGACACCAGAATCCAGGTTTCCTAATGATGCCTGTGCCTGGAGGGCAAGTTTGATTATAGGCAGAGTGTTGTAATTCTATTGTTGCCAAAAACCCAAGCCCTGTTCTCCAAGCAGCTTTATTTGTAATAATGGTGAAATGCTGATCCATTGTCTGATTAGCATCTACCTTTTATTTGATTCAGAATGCAGGTGGGGAAGAGAAGAGCATTGACTTTGAAAAATAACTAAGTAGACCCTCCATAAATAGAAAATATAGTTATTAAAATTAAAAACTTAGAAGAAAGGTAAAAGAGTTGCCCTACCACAGTCAAGAGAGATCAGGGAATAAGAAAGTAGCTGTGGTGAGTAAATTCCCCAGGAAGCAGAACAGAGGTATAAAGAAACGGAAAACATGAAAGAGTAATTAAGAGACATGAAGGACACATTGAAAAGGCCAAACACTTCTGACTGAAGCCCCATAAGTAGAGAATAAAGAGGCCAGGGGATGGGATGGGTGGGGGAGAATACAGAAATAAAAAGGCACATATAAAAATAAAGTGGAACTAAAGTTCTAACCTACAGAAACCGGGAACAAGGGAGGGCAAGGTCAGAGTTGTGTTTAGGAGGCAGATGCAAGATATTAACTTCAGTGGTGTTTAGTTTAACTGTGCATATTAAACTTTAAGGATATGAACTCTCAAAACTCAATGATAAAAACAAAACTACCCAATAAAAATAGGTTAAAAAATGTAAACACACACTTCACCAAAAAATATATACTGGTGGCAAATAAGAATATGAAGAGATGCTCAACAACGTCAGTCAATAGCGTCCTGTAAATTAAAATCACAATGAGGTGCCACTATGGCTATTTTAGAATAGCTAAAATTAAAAAGACTAATCAAAGCAAGTGTTGGCAAGGATGCTGAGGAACTAGAACTCTCACACATTGCTGGTAAAAATGAAAACAGTACAAATGCTTTGAAAAACTGACAATTTTTTAAAAAGTCAAACATACACTTACCATACAATCCAATCATCATACTCCTAGGTATTCACCCAAGAGAAAAAAATAAAGCATTGTCCAAACATTGACTTGTACACAAGTGTTCATGGAAGCTTTATTTGTATTAGCCCAAAACTGGAAACAACCCAAATGACCTTTAATGGGTGAATGGATAAAACAAGTTGTGATATATTCACCAATGCAGTACAATTCAGTGTGTGTGTGGGGGGGGGTGTGTGTGCGCGGGTGGGTGTTCCTTGCTCTGTCCATTAAAATGATCTGGTAGGCTAGAAGCATTGGCACATCATTAGCATTGAGCAGACCTGTGGCCCAGTTCTTGGCTTCTATATATCATTGTCTACTAAAAGGTTCTTGGAAAAAAGACTAATTCTAGAACTGGGGCAGGGAACTTCTAAAGTAAGCCTAAAACATGTTGTGCCTGTGAATAAGGAGATGTTCAAAGACAATTAGAGTTATGTCAAAAAGATATGGTAGTTGACTTGAAAGAGTTCCCATTCTCCAAATTTTGGGAAATTTGAGATCACAAAGAATAGTTACAGTAATGGATTATAAAATACTGAATTTATAAAGAAATCCATGTGTCCACAGTGTTACTCAATTTTTAAAAAAGTAGGGAAGAAAAATAGGGAAGGCAGAGAGGAGAAAAGCTTCTTCTTTAGAAAAGAATGCCAAAACACTCAGGTAGAAAGAGTGTCAAAATTTGAAAACTTGCATTCTTTGACCCCCATATGAATATAATTAATAGATTTAGGCAAGGATCATAAATGGATGCTGCAACCACTGGGTGGAAGGGCATGCAGATTAGACTTTTCATTTGATTGCAAAGCATCACCTGTTGATTACTTACTACTTACAGACAGGAAAGTGTAACTTTATAATGGGAAGATCCAGTGGTTGCCACCTTAACCAAGTTATCAATTGCATCACAAATAGTGGGACAACTGACATCACAGACTCCATGAGGTGATGCAATAAGTTTATAATATCATCTAAACATTTTTGCTAAAATGTCTAACTTGTAACTAATCATATGACACCAATCGGATAAATCCAGTAAGTGGAACATTTCTCAGAATAACTAGTAAAACAAGTCAATATGAAAGAAACTATTCTAAAAGTCAAGGGAAATAACAGTTATGTGTCATGCATAAATCTTGAATCACGGATTAGGAAAAAGCCATTAAAAGGCATTTCTGGGATAATTGGGGGTATCTGTTTATGCACCACTTTTAGAAAATATTATAAAACTATTGTTAACTTTGTAGGTGTAAAAAATGTTATTGTGGTTGAGTGGAAGAATGTTCTTATTCTTGAGAAATGAATGCTGAATCATTTAGGGGTGAAGCAGCATGATACTTGCATCTTACATTCAAATGGTTCCACTGAAAAAAAGTGTGATTGATGCATAGAGAAGCAAAAGTGACAAAACTAAATAATTGATAAATTTAGATGAAAGGTAGACAGGCTTTTATTTTCCATTTCTTCAACTTTTCTGCATATTTGAAATTATTCAAAATAAAA